GAGAAGAGGAAAGAACAGTCATTGACACATTTGGTGGTTCCAGATTCCAACTTAGCAAACTAGATCCCCACCAGTGTTCCCTCTAAGATGAGTTAGTGTGAGCTAGCGCGCAGATTTTTAGCCTCCAGCTCACACATTTTTGCCTTAGCTCAGGAAGGATGTGGCTCCAGAGCAAACTAATTCATGCAGCAGCCCAATCACTCGCTCACAACTTTAAATGCTGGTAGCTCACAAAGTAGGATTTTTGCTCACAAGACTCCACAGCTTAGAGGGAGCATTGGTCCCCACCCCTATTAGCATGCAAATCAAATCAAGCTGGGGGGCTGAGGACCCTTCTGCATTTGCCTGGCACTCATAGAAGAAGAAGAAGAGATTGGATTTATACCCCGCCCTTCACTACCCAAAGGTGTCTCAGAGCGGCTTACAAACTCCCTTCCCTTCCCCACAACAGACACGCTGTGAGGTAGGTGGGGCTGAAAGAGCTCTGACAGAAACTGCTCTTTTTCAAGGACAGCTCTTATCAGAACTACAGCTTGCCCAAGGTCATCCAGCCAGGTGCAAGTGGAGGAGTGGGGAATCAAACCCGGTTCTCCCAGATTAGAGTCCACGCACTTAACCACTACACCAAACTGGCTCTCAGGGTTTAAGACGAAGAAGAGGAGAGATTGGATTTATACCCTGCCCTTCACTACCCAAGGGAGTCTCAGAGCGGCTTACATTCCCTTCCCCTCCCCACAACAGACACCCTGTGAGCTAGGCGGGGCTGAGAGATCTCTGACAGAAACTGCTCTTTTTCAAGGACAGCTCTTATCAGAACTACGGCTTGCCCAAGGCCATCCAGCCAGGTGCAAGTGGAGGAGTGGGGAATCAAACCCTGTTCTGCCAGATTAGAGTCCACTCACTTAACCACTACACCAAACCATAGAATCATAGAGTTGGAAGGGGCCATAGAGACCATCCAGTCCAGCCCCCTGCCCAATGCAGGTCCAGCCTCAAGCATCTCTGACAAATATTCATCCAGCCTCTTCTTGAAAGCTGTCGGTGAAGGGGAGCCCACCACCTCCCTAGGCAGCTGATTCCACCTTTGGACCACTGTGACCGTGAAAAGGTTTCTCCTAATATCCAGCCGATACCTTTCTGCACTCCAGATTTTCTCAGTGTTCCAATCAAGGCAATTTAACTCCACAGCAAGACAGCATCCAAATAACCCGGTGCAACAGCGGGCTGAAACTGGTCTGACCATTGAACGGAGGGGATGTAATGCAGAATGGGTGAAAACCCCAGAATGAAAAGAGGGTTGAACTTGATTTTAGTGCAGAATAGGGGAAAAGCCCTGGATTAAAAAAGAAGATTGAATCCGATTTGAGTGCAGAATTGCTTGGAGGGCTGAGCATGGATTAAAAGGGGAGTGCAGAAACGGCTGAAGTTTCCACTGCTAATGGACACAATGCCTCAGCACATGCAATTGAACTCGAAAGAGATGCTGTTGAAGCAGTGTTTGAGACTGTGTTTGCGAGACAGTTATTGCTGTTTGTTTTTAAATAATTTGTTTGTTTCCCTTCCGGGCAAATTGGCTTTTCATATGGAATCTAGGAAAGCAGATAAAAGCATTTGTTTGTTAATATTACTGTGCTATTACACAAATCAAATTTGATGTTGATTTCACTAACTAGGAGACTGTGAGACCTGCAAATATGTAAACTATCGTGGCTTGCCCTACAAATATTCCTTGGTGAATAAACCTCTTTCGAAGGGGCGGGGAGAGGACCCCACCCAATCCTTTGCCCACATACTCAGCTGGGGACATCCTCTGTCAAATCCCAGTTTTTACAACTGCAGTTTTCATTAACTGGCCATCCAGTATTGGGGACCATTTCACCTTGCTCCACTGCAGATTATATACATGCATAAATGCTGCCAAGTCTCAGCTGACTTGCAGTGACGCCAACAAGGGCCTTTCAAGGCCAGTGAGAAGCAGAGGTGGTTGGCCATGGCCTTCCTCTGCAGAGCAGTGTTCCCTCTAAGCTGAGTTAGTGTGAGCTAGCTCACAGTTTTTTAGTGTCCAGCTCACACAGTTTTGCCTTAGC